GCTCTGGAAGAAAACTGAATCCAATAGAAAAGGCAGCGCCCGGGTCCTGTGGGCTGAGCATGTCTCCAGCAGCTGAGCACGAGGACAGGGGCCAGGAGCGAGGTGGCTGTCATGGACGAGAAGCAGACAGCCTGGTGGGCTTCTCCCGCCTGTGCTCTAGGTCCCGTTCCTCAGCCATCACAGCTCCCCGACTGCCTGGAAGAGTGTTCCCATCCATCCCCCTCTCCCAGCTGCTTTGGGACGCATCAAACTTCGTTTCCAGGGGAAACACAACTGGAGTGAATTGCCCCCCCACGCTGTCCAGCTGGCCGGGGCTGTGACTAGAGCTCCATCCTCCGCTCACTGGGGAGCCTGTGAGTGGCTGGACTTGGGGAGCACCCTGGGGCTGCAGCCGGGACGGGGGGGGGGCACCTGCTTACCAGAATGGTGGTGACGACCAGGGTGGTGTTGAAGAGACTGTTGGATGTGTTGGAGGCGTAGAGGCCGCTGTCCATGCTGAGACCGTCTGCCACGTGCCACTGGCCAATCTGAGGAGACCAAGGAGAAAGGGCTGGGGAAAAAGGGCGGGAGGGGGGCTGGCAGCTGGAGCCCAGGCCTGCGGGTGAAGGAGCCAAGAGGGTGGGGCCCTCACCCCAGGTAAGCCACAGAAGCGGGGAGATGCGGCCTGGCCTGCACAGCCAAGGGGCTAACCTGGGATAATTTCTATGTGTTGGGGGTCAGAAAAGGGTGAAGAGACCTGAGGGAGGAAGGGAAGAAAGGGGCACAGGCTCAGGAGTGCTGGGAGAATAAACGAAAAAATAAGTCAGGAATGGCATGTAGCGCAGGGACATTCTCTCACACAAAAGGGAGTGGAACATGCGGGTTTGCAGGTCTGGAGGCAGGAGTGAGCCACACAGCCTTTGCTCCCTCCACCTGCAGGAGCTCGGCTTCTCTGAGTGAGAGTCGGGGGGGGGGAGAGCTGGGACCCCCAGGCCTTTAATGTTTGCTGAGGGGCTCGATGAATGAAGGACCCAGAGGAAGGAAGACGGGGTTCCAGTCCTGGTCGGTTCCTCTGCCAGACGTGAGAACTGAGACAGTGACTGAAATCTTTCCGAGTCTCCCTCTCTGTCTATAGATGGAGATGCATGTTTTCTCTGTCCTCCTCTCGAGCCCCCGCGTCCTGGAGGCGCCACTTTGCTGCATGTTATTCAGCAGCCCCAGGAGCGCGGGTTGCAGCTGTGCAGCCTCAGAGAAGCTGCTGCACCTCTCTGAGCACGCTTCCTCGCCTGCCACTGGGCCTAATGAGAGAAACTTTACTGGGTGGTGGTGACATTGTATTTAACCTAACATTAATAAATGCAATTTTCTTTTTTCTTCCCCCTCGTGTGTGTGTTTGTGTGTGTTTGTGTGTGTGTTTGTGTGCTTGTGTGTGTCTGTGTGTGTATGTTTGTGTGTGTTTGTGTGTCTCTGTTTGCGTGTATGTCTGTGTGTGTCTCTGTGTGTTTGTGTGTCTCTCTGTGTATGTTTGTGTGTGTATGTGTGTGTT